TTAACAAATATTTAATAAGAGGAGAACGAGGGCAATAAAATTCTACAGCTACATACATTAGACAGCATTTGCACTTCAATTTCACCCTTCCAGAGTTAGTCCAACTAAAAAGTGTTCAATCTAGCTAGCCACTAAAGCCCCTTGTTCAGAAAAGAAAAATATGTACTCTGATCAATTAGTCTGACTCATTTAGAAAAATAGAGTTTTTATTTACAGCAGGGACAATAAAGGAATGATTCAAAAATATTCAAGTTCAATTGGGTCAAAATAATTTAACTGCTAAACACAAATACTACAAAGAATACTATTGATACATATTTAATAAATTGATGCATTTTGTATTTAAAATAAATGAATTATAACAAAATACAAAAAGATTTTTAAAAATCAATAAATATATAATAAATTCTCTTTCATTTAAATAAAAAAAACTAAAGTAAATTTAAAATGTGGGAGTTGGAATTGACACATTTTTTCCACCTCGTCTCCTCTGGCCAGAAATTCCTCCCGACTCCAACTCCACAGCCCTGTTACTTCCATGTACTAATTCAGTAAAATTCACTTGCAAAGAGTGGAAACCCATTATAAGTCAGTCTAACTGAGGTAAGTAAGGATTGCAATTTTCTGAAAACTGCACTTTTATAAACCACAGTACTTCTTAAAACCTTAAAAATGCAGTATAATTTTAATTTTAAATATTTTTCTGGTTGTTTTAAATGATCTTCAGCACAGTTTCTTTGTCTTGAAGAAAGTCATTTAAGATGACCAAAAATGTTTAGAAAGAAACATAGTATAACTTAATTTTCAAAGGTTTGAATAACAGCAGCAGCACTGACTGAGGATCATCTCAATTTGCAAAAATTCAAGCTAATTGTATTTAAAAAAAATCCCAATAAAAAAAACAAAATAGGTCCATTTTATTATGAATGAGTATACACTATATAAATGCTTTCAGAGTATGCTGTTAGTTAAAAAAAAAAAAAAGCCATTCAGTTTCATGAATATTTTCCAGCATACATATTCACATTAACTGTTGAAAAAAAAATTTCTGTAGTAACTTAAATTCAATTTTATTTCTATATATTTCTAAAAGCACTTCATTATTAAAATAAAAGTATACATAAAATAATTGTATTTTGGTGTAACTGAGGAAGATCGTTTAAAATGATTGAAAACGTTTTTGTGGTGTTAAAAATCTTTTGCTGGATTGATAAAGGTGTGATTTTTAACTTAATAAAAGTATAATGTTTTAAATAGTTAATTCTGGTACTGTGTTATTGAAAATTCAGTAAATATAAAAATGTCACAAGAAATAATTGGCCCAAAACAATGGGCATATTCAAAATCTCAGTGAGATGACGCTGGAACTGACGCAACCACTACATTTGAGTGAACACAAACACTGACTGCCAAGGATATTGGAAAATTAAAAGAAAAATTATGTATGATGTGAATTTCTGCATCACGTTAAATTTATTTTTGAACTTGTTTAATGAGAACAGCTTAAACAAAAATGAATATTTCGAGAAGAGAAAGAGGGATGAAGACTAATTTCATAGGAGTGACAACTAAATCAATCCTAAGATTACACTAACTAAAACAAATTATGTGTTGTCTTACATAAATACACTAGTATATTAAAATATTCTATTAATGTACTAACCTAATCTTAATTTGTTCACAGTACATTCATCAACAAATAAATTCAAAACTGTCAACATAAAATACATCTCTTACAAGTCTCAAGGTGGCTGTCATCTTGTTCGCTGATGTATTGAGCACTGAAAGAGACTTGGTTTCCTTGCAGCAACCAGAAATTGCCAGGAAGATTTTGAATAGATGCTGAGAAGTGCTGGTGGCACACTGAGATATTGAATATGCCCTGTCATATACTGTTGTTTCATTTCGTAAACTGTCATTCAATAGTCATAGAAATGTTTTAATACATGTAAAATTCCATACTGAAAAGGGGATAAATAATCTTGAAACAAGTCTACACCGAATGGCAATTTATGAAATAACGAGCAATTACTTATTGTGATGTCATCACAATGCTGGGCTCTAATTTTTAATCACACAGTATTTTTTATTTATTTGATTTAAAATATACAGTAATACCCTGAACTTATGCGATAGGTGGGACCAAGTGATAACAGCATAAGTCAAATTCGTGTAAGTCAGGGTATAATTTTACATATAAATACAGTCGACCCCCCTATAACACGGTAGATACGTTCCGTTCTTTATGAAATTGACATTCTAAGAGTCCTTAAATACATGAGCCAATCACAGCCTGGCATGTATGCAGTTTACGGACTAAGGCTGTTTGAAAGGTTTTCTTCCATAAAATTAAAATCGATTCTAGACTAATTCTACTCAATATTTCCAAAATACGTATAATTTTTTTGGGAATAATCTGTATAAACTATGCTATAAACAAAAAATTGTAGGATTACTTACCGAGTGTGCACTGTTCAATGATGCCATTGCTTAAGCTTGTTTTCATCACGAAGCTTGTCATCGAATGGCGCTTGCGTGCTTCCTGATAAATTATTTTTTTTGCAAAAAATTCGCTGAACTTTGGAGACATCATTAATATAAATATAATTTTTATGGATGTTAAATAATAAATGGTTTTTAGTAGGTCCGCTGTTCGTTTAAACTCAATGGTTTGTACAATATCCACTATTGGTCTAGATTTGACCAATCCTGTCATGCCATGAGTCGGCAATGACATTTTACTGAATTATACGAGTTTTTTTTTAGCATGTTTGTACAAATACTGTCGCAATTTTTTTGCCGTCATATAGGAATCCAAACTATATGAACCTGTGTTATAGGGAGGGGTCGACTGTACATACAAATTATTTTTAATTGGGGCCGGAGACTAAAGAAAACAATAATTTAGAAAAAAATGCTTCCAAAAGTCTTTAACAGAAAGCTCGTTTTGTCTCATAGCTTCATGCAGGTGTGCAAACGATCGTCTCATGTAATGAGCTTTGAACGTTTTGATGACTCCCTGATCCATCAGTTGAAACAAGCTGGTTGTATTTGGTGGCAAAAATACAACTTTCACACATGGGTCAAAATTAGTTTAAGTTGCAGGGGGTTATAACCTGGTGCGTTGTTGATTATTAGCATCACTTTAAATGGAATTTGTTTAGATTGGCAATAACGTTCGACTTCAGGTATGAAATGATGACCAAACCAGTCCTCAAAAAGGGAAGCTGCCCCCCAAGCTTTACGATTTGACTTCCAAATCACAGGCAAGCCAGCTTTAGATTTTTTTCAGTGTTCTTGGATTTTCCGAGCGATAAACTTAGAGGTTTTAACTTATAATCACCAGCTGCATTTGCACCAACCATCACTGTCAATCAATCTTTGCGGCCTTAAAACCTGGAAAGGTTCTCTCTTCACGTGCGATAAACATTCTTTTAGGCATCTTTTTCCAGAACAAGCCAGTCTCATCTATGTTGAATATGGTTTGGCTGGTATAGCCACCTTCATCTATCATAGCTTTGAATTTCTCTGGATAGTAAGACGCAGCCTCTTTATCAACACTTGCCGCCTCTCAACTTTCTGCAATGCTATGCCAATTACAGCGACTTTTAAATCGGCTGAACCAACCATTACTAGCTTTAAACTCTTCATCTTTAGCCACCTCTCCAACATCCTCTTTCAATCTCTTAAAAACCAGCTTAGCTTGAGAGCACACAGTGTTCTGATCAACAGAACAATTTTTCACATTTACTTGATCATCACACCATAATTTTAATATTGTTTCCATCTCAGCAATAATATCGTGAAGTTTACGAGTGATGCTTGAATTTAAAGATTGAGCATTTATTATAGCTTTGAAAATTTTTTTTTTACCTTTTATAATTGTTCTGACCGTCTATTCTGGTAGATCAAACTTCTTTGCCAATTCATAAATTTTCATTTTTGTATCAAAGTTAATTATCTTTGGAATGTAAAGTTAACATTAAGTTTTTTTTTCTTGTTTGATGCAGAAGAATCAGTTCAACTTTGTTTGAATGACATAGTAGAGTCTCTTAAATCTCCATAGATATAACAAATACAGAAATAAATAACACAAAATAAATTGTAGCTATGCGTCGATTCCATGCGACATGTCCGAACATGTAAGCTGAACAATAGTGTGGGGGGGAGTGAGTAATCAAGAGTTGTGTGGTGCTCAAACAAAAGAGGAATCAACGAGGTTTGAAAATTGCGTAACTCCAGGTTCACATAAGTTGGGGTAGCTTAAGTCGAGGTATTACTGTATGTTCTTCATCTCAAACCAGTAGTGTCTTGCCCCTGTACATCATACTGTTCCTGTTAGCAATAGAGTTGTGCCAGTCATCTATCTAACTCCATTCAGGGAAAAGCTTTGAATTAAAATAACTTCTGGCTTGCATCAGAAGTTCATATATGGTTAATCAGGACATCCTGCCCCTAACCTTTACATGAAAGTCAAGACCAGATATGGATCTAAAACTCTGTTGTTGAGATTAAGGAAGGGCAGATGGATGACAGTGGGAATTTATAGGTCTACAATTTTTTCAAACTACAGTCAAAAAGATGTTTGATGAGGCAAGCATTGTTTTGGACTAATTAATTAATTCTTACAGGAAACTCAGTAAAGTAAGTACTCAACATATCAATAAGAAGTTGGTTAATATGACATACTAAAATTGACATTTTAAATTTGGAATTTTAGATTTTAGTTAGTGACTGAATTTTTTATCAATCTTCAAGAAAGATATTTAAAAATGTGCTAAGTATTTAAACTCAGTATCACTTACGAAACAAATGATACATTTTTACTTTGTACACAAACACACACACTGGCATTAATGTATATTTATTTGTATGTAGTCTTTAATAATTATAAAAACAATAATTTTGCAAAAAACTTAAATATTAACAATATTATATAGAGTAATCTTCAATATTTTTTACTAGATACAATATTCTTATGTATATACATTTCCCATAANTATTACATTAAAATTAAGTTTGACAATTTTGTAGTGTTTGAACTTTACTTTTATGAGTGGTTTATGTGAAATTTTAAAAAACTATTTAACATCATGAAATCTATTTCCCTCCCAGAATGAGTTAATTTTAAAAAATATAACATTTACAAATAAAATTAGTATCTCATTTTCCAATTCATATTTTTTTAAAAACTAGACATTTTCTTTCTGATTTGACTGTGTTGAGTAACTCCAATAATTCAGAAGTAGATAACAAGTGTAATTACCAGAAGCTATGTTTGTCTTCATGCTAAACCTCACAACAAACCTAAAAAAATCTAGACTTGTCAATGATGTCTCTAGCTGCCTGTAAAGTTTCAAGTTTGGCCATAAATATAGGAGCATACTATACTGACACCAATTTGAATGTCAGTGATAACTATAATCCCAAATGTTGAAATTTCAAAAGAAAAAAAAAAAAATCACAATCCTGAAAAATTAAAATCTCAAAAATACAATCCTAGGAAAAATAATAAATCTTTAAAAATGTTAATGTCTCTTAAACGAATTTATTTGAGAAATATACATAAACAAGTGAGTGAACACTTCATAAATATTTTATTGTAGAAAAAGGGCTAACAGTAATAGTCAATATGTATGCACTGTGCATAATACACACATATTGAGTATTATTACTTTACAACATAGTAGCTAAAGTCAAATATATAGAATTACAAATTACAAAAATCAATGCTGAAAATTTTTAGTAGTGAAGAAGAGAAAACCAATGTACAAAAAAAGCATATTACATGGAAATATTATGGGTACACAGAGGTGGTCAAAAGAGCTGACCGACTTTCATGATCATTAACTATATTCTGAAGTTGTATTTTGCAATGAATATCTGCTTTTTTCCTTTTAGGGCATGGTTTTCTTTGGAGAATATGCTCATATTCATTTTCTACGTGGCATTGCACTTTCTGAAAGTATTCAATGATTCAATATGCACCAAAGTTAGCATTCCCTATTAAATTATTCTATCTTCTGCATCATGCTTCTATGTTGTTTTAAATCCATTCTGTATGCACTCACCTACAGACCACAAATTTTTCATTAGAAATTGAGGTTTTAGGCATTTTGGGAATTTGATTTTTTGGGATTTCAACGTTCAGGATTACGACTCAAACCCCTTGAATATATATTTGTCTTACTCTGTAGAGTCCATGTGTATCATGTATACTTACAAGAGTACTCAAAGGGTTAAAGTTGGGATTTTCAGCTGGTTAAAAACAGGTATCATTATTATAGCTGTTTATCAAATTATAAATTTGTTGGCATAAGCAGATAACCTGATATGTTTGACATATATTATAAATGAATCAGTTTGTTGTTAAATCTGCATAAGTAACGAGTGATTGGATTTCTTACAGAGTAGATACATAAATTAATGTAAAATATGAATTAGAATCATATCTCAAATGGAAGTCTAAATTAATAGATAATCTAAAACTGTTAAGCCTTGATCACATTGAAAAACCTCAAATGCACTTTCAGGCTATAAGAAAAAACAGTGCTTAAAATGCACAAAACTAATTCACAATTTGAGAAGTTATGAAATTCTTAATCTCTCTAATAAATCAATTATAATTCAGAGAAGTATAGATTTTTGTTTATTTATATATTAAAAAAAATTGAGACATAATTATGACAATTTCTAACAAGATGAAATGAAATTTTTCATGCAGATATGCACTTTCTGAAGGTTCTAAACCTCAAGTATAATCAGTAATCAATTTATTTCCAAAGTTTTTAAAATTTCTGTTATAGAGTAAAGTAGATTTTTTTTTTAACTTGTTTAGAAAAATACACAATTCAGTTAGTTTCTGTAAAAAAATATCAGATTTTGTTATTTTCTCTAATATTAATATTCTGAAATTTGATGAAATATTACATAAGACTTTTGAAACAATTTATTGCAACTGGCTATTGATTTCACTTACATTTTAATAAAAACAAGTTAATACCATTTGCACTTAAAGTTTCTTATTGCAAATATTTGGAAAATTTGACATTTAAATATAAGAATTTTGTAGAATATAAAATTAGCAATAACTTGTTTTCCAGAAATTGAAATATGTGATTAAATTTTTATAAAATATTACATGCAAAAAAATTTTTTTAATTATGTATTGTGTATTATTTTACATTATGATAATAGATAAAAAAATAAATGCTCAAAAATTAAGGCTCATATTCAAAATGCTTTCATGAATGGCACTGATCATCACAAATTATCTTACAATGTAAGCTGAAGTAGTGATAGGTTCTGTTTTTTAGAAACAGAACTATTTTTTAGAAACCTAATTTTTCTGGTGTATAACCCACAAGAATTGCTATAAAACAGCCAGTACCTGCTTTCAAATTGATTTTAAAATATATATAACCCTGCAGGTTATGTAAGAAACTTTTAGTCCGAATTACTCATGTACAGGGATGTAGTCACATGTAACAAGGGGCAGCATTTCCCAAACTAACTCTTCTGACCCACATTTGCCACCAGTCATCATTTAAGTTTAGAAGTAAATGTAATAAAAAAATGTCAAGCAGTTGACCACTGGATAAAACAGAACAGACTCAAATATCATTAACAGCCATGAGGATGTCATGAATATAAAAAAGAATATAATTCAATACTTGTTCATCCTTTTCTACTTTATTGAGCATTGTCATGTGTAAATTATCACTGGTTCACAAATGGCTTGCAATAAGCTGCCATATCAACATAATGGCTCTTTGCATAACATGTTGCTAATGATCAAGAGACATTTTTACAGTAGCCTACCCATCTATGCTACATCTACACAAGCCATAAGATATGGAGGTGAACCACACCCAAAGTTTTCTGGCTATATCCCTGCATGTGATATATTAGTTATGAATTTATAACTTGTTTTTCAAGTGTTAAATTATATGAACAATAAAGCAAGTTACTTTCATTGATTTTTAACATATCATTGAAAAAACAGGTTATATAATACACTATTAACCGCTCAGCAGTGACCAATGGATATATCCATCAAGGGCAATCGTAAGCGATGGATATCGCCAAAAACTACCGCAAAAAAGAATCTACATAAAAAGGAATTATGTAACAATAAAAAAATGACTTTTCTTTACTAGACATAACTGTTTACAAAATCTTTTTCTGAAACGGTAATGAGAAAAAAACACATGGGAAAATACTCTAAAAATTTCCCACATTTATTCTCCACTACATAGGGATAGTACCATACCTGATTAATGCACTGCTGAAAGGTTAATAGCAGGTAATATGCAGACAGTAATTCTGCATATTGAAGGATATGTTAGTTATTTTGAAAAATTAGTTAAACTTTAAAAATTCAAAAGTCATTATTTTGGTATAAATTTGTGTAAACATTATTATATTATTGTTAAAAAATTTTCCCTTTCAATCAGATACTTCAGCTTATAAAATGAGATTAATTCTATTTGATATGACTTATTTATAGGAACATTGTTATAAAATTATGCACATAAATTTGAATAAATTATATTAAAATAATTATTAGACAAAGAATTTAACAAAATTTATCGATAAATTTCTTTATCGATTTCTATAAATGATGATCCATCTTTATAGTGGCATTCATAATCTATTCGAGTTAGTGCTTTTCCCCAGGTGTAGTGTTGATTATCCGTAGATTTATAAAATTTCACTTGAGGTTTAATTGTTAATATTCCTTGATCTTTAATCTGTGATAAATATTAAAACTACTGATTAATAAAGTTTAAGGATTTATTTAGAAAAAAAAAATTTAAATATGTAAATACATTTATAGTTATCATAAGTGTATCTCTCTGTCCTCTCTTTGTTGCACTAACTGAAGTAGTCGACCAATTTACCGAGTAAGATACACTACTGCACTCTCGAGAAGTTTCTACTGCCGTGACTGTTGAACCCATTATGCTACAAGAACTGAAAAAAATTTTCTGAATTACAAAATTGATTATATAAATATAGATATATTCTAGTTTAATAATATAAACTATGCATAAATAGTTAATATTTAGCTTTTCTTGTCTGTATTTTGATTATACTATAATACTTAGGTTATAAGACCCATAAAACCAGACTAAATTACACTTTGCTTACTTGTTTATTGACACATTCTATTACTAAGGCAAAATGCATTTTGACTTAGTTCTCTTTAGTTGGCTATAACAATGTAATTATTGCTAAAAAGAAACAGACTTTACAAGTATTAAAATGCTATTGTCGTAAAAATAACAGAGTTAACATGATTATGGTGCTCCAACAACTACCTAAAGTATGATCCATCTGTTTTTATGGATCTCTCAACCTGAATAGTATGGAATATAAGAGATTCAATACATCTTTTCAATTTTAAAAATATTTCAGGTGATAAATTTATTTGTACTACATTATAGTACTTATCACAATATAATATTTGAACAAATTTTATCAATTAATAAAATTTAGTAATGAAAATATAAGCTTTATATAATGAAATATAGTAATGAAAATATAAGCTTTGTATAAGCTTTAGCCTCATGAATTATACTTTGTGTTATTAGTTTTAAAAAATCTGTAAACATTTACTAAAACTTTGTTGTTATAAATTCTTTAATTAATATATTATAAAT